TATAGTTGGTTTAACTGGATGTTCAATTGTTATTTATTGGTTAATACGTTATGCAAGATGGAATATGAGATCATCTCGTATATGTTCTCTTATTCTTAATTTAATTATTGCTGATGTATCTGTATATATATTTGCAACTGGTATTCAAATTTTTTGGGAATTTCAAGTAAATCGAGAATGGCCATTCAATGATTTTCTATGTATATTTAAAAAAGAAATTTTCTATTTTTTCTTTGAATTAACGATATATTCAAACTTTATATGTTTAGGTCGAGTAACAAAATTTTTTCAAAGTTTTTCAATTCTTTCATCATCTTATATTGTTGTTATAATGGCAATTGATCGTTGTGTTGCAATTGTTAGTCCATTAAAAGTTGGCAAGATTCGTGTAAGTTTCATAATGAAAAATAAAAAAAAAAATCATTTATTTCATATTGGAATAGGTTCTTCATTTATGTGGTAGTGCATGGATATTAGCTGGTCTTTTATCAACACCAAATATATTTATATTTCATTTACGTATTGATGATTCTGCTCGTTATTGTACAGCAGTATTTAATCAACAATCGACTCGTACAGGACGACGTATCTATTTAACCTTCATATCTCTCGTTGTATATTTTATACCATTTATTGTTCTTGTTCTCTGTTACATACTCATTTTTATTAAATTATTATGGCGTGAACATGATCAACAGAATCATAATGCGAGACGAATATCACCATGTTGTTCATGGTTACTTGATACAAAAATGACAAATGCATCAAAAATGGTGTTAGAACAAACGAATGTAAGATCATCATCTAATCGTTCATCATTTAGTGAATATGATGCAAGACGAAAACGAGCGAATACTTATGCAAAAGCTCGAACAAAAACATTTCGTATGGTAAATAAATTTTTTTTTTTGTGTTTTTATTTTCGAAATCAGTAACTTTTAAGATCTGAGCATATGAGTATAAAATAAGGAATAAGACAAAGAATTCATTTTGTCAGGTTATATCTTCTCTTAACATTGAATTAAATATGTTGCATGTGATTAAAAGATAATCTTAGAAATTCAAAGAAACTTAATTTAAGTCCAATAACCTCTTTTAGAGATACTTTCTTGATGGTTATCGCACATATAGATAAACATTTTTAAATGTCATCATTATGATAGATGAAGCCGGTGAATATGTTAAACATCCTTTCGCAGTGGAAGACATCTGTTCATTAGTTAATTTCTTGCAAAAATAGTATACATCAAAATATGTTAAGTTTTGACTTGAAAAATCCTAACAGATTAAGATGAACATTATTTCTGGACTTAAAAAAGAAATCTGCTAGTCAAAAAAATTATGAAAATAAATCAGACACAATGAAAGACTCTCTAAAAAACTTGTACACTTGAACATAATAAAAAAAAAAACTAGAAATGTTTCATTGCTGAGATAGGTTAAGAAGTCTACGCTGATTATTTATTATTTAGTAGCATTTATGATAAAGACAGCCTATGCTTCCAAGAAGATCGTTCATCACTGTAGATTCATTATATGCTTACCGACTACATTATTACATACGTGTACTCCTAACTTTCGTTCATTCATAAAACTAATCTCATAGATAATTGTCATCGTCCCGATAGCTAATAGAAATCTTCGTCAATTCTTAGTTAACAAATCAGTATGATGTATTAAAATAGTTTTATCACGTTTTCTATAGGATTGATAGAGAAAATTTGTTGCAATAACAATTCTAAATTGTTCTTTTTTTATTATCTATAGATCATCGTACTTGTTTTATTTATGATTATCTTTGGCGCACCTTATTATTGTTTGGAATTATATGTTGCTTATACAGGTCGTCAACCAGGTGACTTAGTCTTAGCTTTAGCTGGTGGTGCAGCTGTTGCTCCATCTTCATTAGATCCATGGATATTTCTTTTATTTTGGGCTAATTGGAATCAACCAGCTAATATGGGTAGTAGTCGAAGATTCGCTAATATTAGTTTACAACAGAGACAACAAATTCAACAACCGCATTGTTTACCAGTACGACGAACTATTCAATCAAATACAACAGGTACATCATCATCAAGTGATCCACGTCAATATCATCAAGTTGTACTTATTGGTCCATCACGTCTACCACCTTATACTATAAGATGGAATTCAACTGGTAGAAGACATAATCAATACAATTTAGACTAAAGATATTCAAATAAAAAAAGTATTATTTTATATAGAATAAAGTAATAAAAAAAAAAGAAAAAGAAAATGAGAGAAAATAAATTTATTTAATGAATTTCTCTATAAGAATATCTTTAATAAAATAATGTGCTTGAGGCTTTTTAACATATTATTAATCAACTTTACAATATGTATTTTTCGTTGCATCAATATAATTCGTTATGATTTTTAAATCAACAACAATTATCAATAATATTCCATATTAGTTAATTTAATTTTTGAAGTAAATAAATCAACATATGGATTTGTAAAAGTATGTTCAATAACAATAGAAATTTTCCCCTTGGTTTTAATATTCTATATGCTTGAGAAAGAACTTTTTCTCCTCAGGAATCTGGTATACTACATATTATAAATGTCATTATAACCATATCAATAGTATTTGACTCAATATGATAAATATCTCTTGCTAAATTATTCAAAAGACCGATATTATATGAAATTTCATATTGATTGATAAGATTCGTTAAAATATTTATGCATATATGAATATTAAATTCCATACGAATATATGATTCTATATTATTATTATTATTATATAAGCAAGGAAAATGACTTTCTATGTCTGAATCAATTTTTAATACATTTGCTTGAACATTTGAATACTGAAGTAACTTGATACATTGAAGATCATTATACTGATATTATTAGTATTGGAATATTTTGCTATTTCAAAAATAAAATCTTTATTAATTACTTTTTTTTGTTGATAGACATTGACGATTTAGATGAGAACTATAATTACTGATACAGTTTCAAAAAGAAATTTTTATAGACAGAAATCATTTTTCTAATACAGACAAAACTAGTGAACAATATATATTGACTATCGTTTTAGAAAATTTTATAAATCAAATAAACAGCACAATTGAACAGAGTCAAGTTACTAGACGACATGCTGACACTGTTCATTGCTCAAACAATCGAATTTACTGTAACATTTTTCTCTTCAAGAAATCAACTAATTCGTCTCGGATTAATATTTTTGAGAAAAATGACATTTGTATGACAAGTCTTACGGTTAAAAAAGGCGTATAAAACTTCTAATAAAAATAATTAGATGTCATCATTCTATAATGTATTAACTTGAAAAAAGTACATTTTGTAAATCTTTTTTTTCTATTAGGTACTTTCAAGATTTTTAATCTGATTCTACAATAGTTTTTCCAAAAAAAAATTTAGTAAGGTTATCCAGTTTTCAACAATTAGTCAAAAATATTGTTTGAGTACAAACGAGATAAGTTAACTTGCTCTATAATAATTAGAATTGAAAGTTATAACAGATGAAAATGACTTGCAATTTTCTTATGGACATATTTACTTGTCTCATCTGAATAACTTGATTTTCATAAGACAATAAAGCAATCATCAGATAGAGTAATTCTTTTTTTTTATATTTGCCTGAGAATTATTCTTTCAAAATTTCTATTTTTGTTTCACATAAAATTCATGTCATAAAAATCCCATTGGTTCTGATGATTAATTCCTATTGATTAAAGATTATTAAACTATGCGCTATTAATAAATTTTTCATGGATATATGAAAGCAAGAGACAACAAATTTTGATGATCTAACGTTAAAAAATATTTTCAATATCCTCAGGGCATGATATTCGATAAAAAAATTTTGACTAAATATTTACTCTCTGATAAGTTTGAATCAATGAGACAACAGACATAATAATTTTGGTCTTTTAGCTCTTGTATAATCCATCTTATTTTATTAGAAAACTTATTTTAATACATAATAACTTCGGTAGTAAGTATATTATCTTAACCAATAGATTGTTTTATTTTCATTTCAAACAATGTCAAGAACAATGATTATGGTAAATATTATTGTACAAAATAAATAATATTCTTTTTATTGCTATAAATTTCAACGATAAGTGATACTTTTTTTAAGAATTAAATTAAGTTTTTTTTTTTGTCTTATTTTATCAGTAAATCTAATCTCATAAGACAAATTTTTTGATCTTTTTCATTTAGACTAATTGGAATAGTAGATTCATGAATAAGTATTAGTTTACAAAATAAAAGATAATCTTTCTTCTTTCGAACAATCACAACATCAATATCATTATTCAGTATCATTTTGAAAAATAAATTACATTCTTTTTTTTTTTATTGAAATTAATCCCAATAAGAATGTTATTAGTAAACATGATTTTGCAATATAGATTATATTGTTTTATTTATGAAAAGGGAAAAAGAACAGCTGATCTATCTCTCTCACTCATGAGAATGTCATATATAAAAGTTTACAATAGTCATAATTCTCATACTAGATTTTAGGGAACTCTTCAGAGACTCTTTTATAAAAAAAAATTGACTATAGTTACTTCTTGATTAATTTTTAAAAAATGTAGATTAATCACGATTTTAATGATATAGATGTGCATGACTACAAATTTCAGAATCGTATGTTGAATGCTCGAATTTATTTGCACGAAATCAATCAATTGAGTTTTGTTCTCAACATTAATATGATCCTATTGAATCGAACTGAATGCAACGATAATTTCTCGTCTTACGCAAATCTTCAAAACTATAAATTGTTCAAATAATTTTTGATATTCATAAAGCGATCAAATAGGTCTTTTTTGTATATATTGAACCATCAACTGGTGCTCGTATATATTCAAATAATTAAATATATCAATATTTAATATATAGAACTTTTTATTTATTAAAAACTACGTAATAATATATGGTCTAAAATTGATAAATTTATCAGTAAAAACTATAAACAATTTTTCTTTATTTAATTATAATAAATAATATGAAGATTTTGGTTTTAATCTATATTTAAAAAATTCTAATGTTACTATATCACTAAATGTTGCTGGATAAAGTAAAACTATTGATTGACATATATGAAGATTATTTTGTAAACAAGATCCATTTTTAATATGATCTATTGTTAATTCATTATGATGATATTGAATAAAGCAATCATCATGTTTACATATTGAATTTGTTTGTTTATTATGTAATTTATATTTTACACATTTCCATAAATGTATTTCACGTGCACTTGGATATGATTGTTGTAAACATGAATCGATTAATTGAGTATTACGTACAAGATTTAAAGCTTGACCATTTAAAATATATGCATTTACTTCTTGTTGTTCATAAATAATAAATAATGGTGATTGAGAATTCTCAGTAGAATTATGTAGAAGTCGTACTAATTTTTCTCGAAAGACAAATGTTGGAGCAGGAACAATGATTAATGAATCATTAGTTGAAATATATTCATATGAACTTATAGATTGACGAATTACAATAAGAATATGTATCCATAAATTTACATGATATGGTGATTGAGAAGGACTAACGTCTAGAATAACAAAGAATATTTTACAATGAAATAGGATCATTTTTCAGAACTATTAGTTTTATTATCAAATTTTAAAAGAAATTTTCTTTTGTGCGATCATTTCATTTCTAATTGTGAAACTCAATGATTGTTTTCTTTTTATTAAAATGAACCGAATACAAATGAATGAAAAAAAGCAACTTCAGGAAAGTAAAAATCTTACTTTTGACTTTCAATCACTAAAGTACATATTAGTTATCTTATAGTTAATTTATTTCGTATAATTTTCAAATACAGAGATGGATAAAAGACAGAACATATATCGGGTGTCCCAGGAATAATGAGCCTCCCAGTATTTTTAAGATTTCCTGTCTATTATCACTGTAAGTAAAGCTGTCTTAATTATCAAAAGAAAGCGCTTAAAATTCTCTACAAAACCATATGTGACTAGGCTCAAAAACAGTTTTAGATATATTTGAAAAAAGACGAAAGCTAAAGACATACAGACGGCTGTAAAATGTAAATATGTCATCAAGAANCACTTGAGGCTATCATACCTTATGCCCAACTCAAAATCGAGTTTTTGATCAAAAAAGAGGGGGGGGGGTACCCTTAAGTCGATTCAGTTTTCTATCCTATTTATATTTTCAACGACTTACATTGTAACAATGAATATATCGTAGTTAATAATAGATTCATCTAAAAGTACTACATGAATGTTTCTTAAGTTGTATATTTTGATCGTCTAGACCAATAACAATAAACATATTTTTCTAAAAAGAAATCTCGAAAACAAAAACAAGTTTAATAATACTGACTAATCTATGTATAATGTCTCATACAAACAAAATATCTAAACAAATATCACAGAAATTTTCCTCGAATATTACAAAACTATGTTTCGTTTGTTCAGTGTCTGATCATGTGTAGACATCTATGATGTAAATATTAATCAAACACTTATCTTTTAGAATCTATACGCCATTCTTATTGAAAACTTTTAATCAATTTAAAAAAAATGTTTACTTCTTTTTGACTATACAGCAATCAAAACAAAAAAAAATTCTAGGGATGAAAAGGTAAAAGCAAGAGAAAATTCTACCTGTAGAAGGTTTTAATTGTTCACTTTTTTCTAATGTTAACATATGTGGATCAAGTGTAAAAAAATGTAATGCTGATAAAACACAAAATTGTTCAAGATAATTTGAAAAAATTATATCTTTAATTGAACCACTAAATGAATCATCTTGATGTCCTTGCCATGGAATTTCATTAATTCGACGTTGTTCATCAAATAAAACAAGATGATTATCATCTTCAATAAGCATACGATTATCTTCTGATACAGCTATAAATGGTGAATGACATGTATCAAGTATAAAACAACGTTTTGGTGTTGAAATATTATCAAGAATAGATAGTTGAGTATTTTCACGTTGAATATCTAATTTGAAAAAAAAAAATAAATAATTAATGAAAAATTTTTGAAATTTTTTTTTTTACTTTTAAGTATTTCAATTTGTTCAACTAATTTTTTTTCATCACTACTAACTTTGTTTAATAATCTTCCAAATGCTTGTAAATCACAATCTATTTTTGTTATTTTCTTTTTTATATCATTTAATTCTTGTTCAGATAAATTTTTTCGTCGTTCAATAACCATTTTACTTAAATTTGGTAATATATCTTGTCTTAATATTGCTGAACGACGTTGTTTTAATTGATGTAAACGATTAGTTAATGAATCAAGTTTATTTATTGTATTTAAATGAATATTATTTATTAATGAAAACATTTCTGTACGCCAATCATCGACTGTACGACGAGAACTTGATAAATCATTTTCAATTTGTAGACCATCAATTAAAGTTAATAATGAACGAGCACGTTCATGTAAGATTTGACCTGATGTGGACATTAGAAAAATTCTTTTTCTTTTTTTCAAAATAGAAAATATCTATATAGACAACCAAACTAAATCAATTATTGTAAAAGAAGATAAGAAAACTATTTGAGTTATCAAGTTATTTTTTTAAATTCATATTGATGATAATTATAAATGTTAGTTATTTGTATGTTTTATTTTTTCAACCTTTTTTTTTTCTTTTTATTTACATTCAATTGTTTTCTAAGAATTATTAGATATAAAGTAACAAAGGAGCTTTCTAATCTTCCTAAAGTTTTTTGTTGTCAGATTACAAAAAAAAAAACAATCATTTATTTTAAGTCCAAAAAATATTTATTATTCAGAAGGTATTATTATATATTAGATTTTTATCATTGGATATAAGTATGAATAGCTTATATATAATTATATGTAATTTTAATAAGGGTATTTCGATCGGGTAGCCTCTCCTTCTCATGTTGAAAATGTTTCGTTTTTCTTTCGAGTTATAATGTTTTTTTTCTCACCTATTCTCTAAAAAAAACTACTCGACGTAGTAACCTTAATAGGGTCAACTTTAGCAAAAACCTTTGACGCAGTCTCCGATGTCATCGACCTCTAAATATTCTTGAATTTTGCTTGTGACTAATTCAAAATTCGACTAAATGATTATTAAAAGTTTCTATTAATACAATAATTATTATCAATATCATAGAAGAAATTCGACATTATAGTTTGTTTATTGATCTTAGATCAAAGACGTTCTTTCGTTTTTTTTTTTGACTAACTATATCAATTAAGTCTTATAGCGCTACAATCGATGTTAATGATTATTAAGTAGATTAATTTATCATATTTACATAATGAAGCAAAAAAAAAATGAATTTTAATTAATAATTAATTTTGATTGGTAATTTAAACATTCCTATCAGATTAATCAAATGTTTTAGGTTTCCTTGGTTGATCTCTCGTTTTTTTTTTATCATTCCTTCATCATCTTGTCGTTGTGTTATATACTACGGTAATGTGGGTAAAACCTTCAGAAGTTTCGGTAAGAAGTTTCTTCAAATTAAAAAAAAACAATATTTTTTTGTTCTGATTCTTTTATTGTCATTAGGTTTCAGGACTTTGGTAAGATTTGTTTTTCATTTTTTTTTGGGACTTATTAATCGTATTTATTTAATTTAGGTCAATTGATCGAGCTAATCCGTATTTTATATTGCAACGTCGTCGAGGTCATGATGAACGGCATAGTGGTTGGACTAGTTTTATCTTTGCAACTGTTGATAGTGTCTTAGAAAAAGTACCATTAA